CTGTCGTTGCCGTCTAGATCAGGCTAAACCTCGTCTGTGTTTAAAGCGTTACGTACATGTATTCCATGCGATTCCTATGATACATGTACAGTATATGTGCTAAATTATCTGGTCGTCCTACCAGAAGTACAAACTCAATAAATGCGATGGTTTTAAACATCCCTAAAGCAAATACTTTGACTTCCCAGAACAGCTTCTATTGTAGAACTCCCAGAATCTTTAATTTTTTACAATCACACCTGTAGTCTAGGACCTGTATAGATGTTTGTATGCGTTTCATTTAGCACAGGTAATCTCAACTGTTTTAGGGTAAAATGACCATGGCGGTCAACATGGCATATGTGCCAAAACCTGAATCCGGGGCGAAAGTCCTGAAAATGACCCCGCCCTGAAACGGCAGTGCCGACATAGCTCCAACTTCCGAAAACGAAAAGCGACAGCCTTTCTGAAGTGCTTATGGTGTTTAGAAGGGTTGCTTTTAGGGGTGGTCATTGGAAGGAAAAATTTGTCTAAGTATAATATTTTACAAGAAAATGACCATGCACCACCCCAGGTAAATTGCTAATTATGCATAAAATAACTAATATGCCTGGCAGAAATTAAATGTTCTTATTTCCTAAAAAAAATTATCATGGGATGAAAAACTATGCTTAGTTCAATATAATATTGTAGATTTCATAAGGATTGTCATTGTTTTCTTTTAATATAGTACATTTTATTTCACTTACCCCCCACGAAAACACGCTTTCAGCCATATTTTGCCGTCTTGTTTGCTTTTTATCGCCGAGTCTCGCAAATATCATCGAGTCGTTGTACCTTTACATGATCATAAATGGCTAAAGAGTATTTCACCCAAGTTTCATGAAGTTTTGGAACTGTGCAGTGTATTTTATCTTCGATATTGTGTCCTTCGATATTTCGTCAAATTGCCGCCATTTTAATGGCTCGCCGCTTCTCTGTCCGATAAATGCCACTTCTCCGTTTTCATATGTATTTAGATTACAGTATCCAAGAGTACTTCATTGTAGAATAGTCCCAATCGAAAAATTGACAACATTTGTCCCATTTG